TCCCCTCCACACCTGTCTGCTCCACCCGACCTGTGGCTCTTGTTTGTTACAGTGGCTCCTTATCTTTCCTTATGGCAAAAAGTGGTGAATCGAGCAGGACCAGGCAACTCACTGCAGAGGAGCTGGAGCAAAGAGTGAAATGGTGAGAGCCGGGACAGCCGCAGGTGCCGAGCGTCCTGCTGAGCCGCCTTCCCAGACCCTTCGATGGAGCTGGGTTGGGATTTGGGATTCCTGGAGCTGCATCGGGATGGGGCTTGGTCGGGACCGACCAGTGGCCTTGGCCTTGCCTGTTGTTAATCACGTGAGAGAGGAGAGGAATTCGGTGGTGGTGACTGTGCTGCTTTTATTGCGAGTCACAGAAGCCGGGAAACGCAGCCAAAATCTATCGTGTTCCTCAGCCTCTCGCTGGGAGAGATGATAGGAAGCATGAATGGAGATCGCAGAGGAGGAAGGCGAGGAATAAAAGCTGCTGGGACGTCTGAGTCATCCGCCTCCCCGCTGGCATGCGCAGCTCCCTGTTCCCACCGCCACCTCCATGGAGCAAAGAAGATGGAAGATGCTGCGATTCCAGGAGCTCCTCTCTCTGGCTCCAAGTGCTCAGTGGTATTTTAGCAGCTCTTTGCTCTTGAGGCAAGTTTCCTGCCTGCCTAAGCGAAGCGCTCGGTGTCTTTGCTGCGTTTTTTTTGCTTAGTGCACATAGCTGGGCCAATGCCTCCGTAGGGAAGGGATGCGAACTGCCCAAACTAGCCCAAAGAGCTCCAGGAGCTTCGGGAAGCTGCCACGGGATCGGCTTCCAGCCCTGCAAGCCGCGGCAGGAGCGCAGCTCCTCGTGCTGATGAACACCCTGCTCTCCCGCCCGCACCACGTGCAGCTCCAGTGAGGAGGAGATGTCAGGCTCAGCGGGCAGCACATCGACGTTGCCAGGCCTGGAAATATATGCTGGAATCTGCCTCCAGCGCCCGTTTTCCCATGCAAGAGGGGAAGTCGTCTCGCCTGGGGCTGGCCGCACACTCCACGTATCCTTCAGGGGGATTTTCCTTCTGAACCGGCACCGTTTGGGATCTGCCCTCCACGAAGTCAGCCTGGCCTTCCAGCCTCAGCGCTGCCATTCCCATGCAAAGAGCGTGGGGCCTCATTCCGCTGTCCTGCTTGGGACGTTTGTGGGTGGTGGCTGGAGCAAAGCAGATGCCTGGACGGAAGCGCCCCGGCGCAGAGGGGCCGGCAGCGGGGCGGGTTCCGGGGGTGCCCCGGTAAAACGGGCC